GAGTGTAATAGTAACCAGAATTTCTCCAGATTACTGCAGATTGCTTTAGGCACCCCTGGTCAGGAGGAAAGTACAAGGAGAATCAGAGAAATAAGGAAAATGGTGTTAAATAAATAAAAATTCAGTTATAAACTTCAAAAGATGAGCAATGATAGACTTGAATGTAAACTCATTATAAGGGCAATAAATAGGAAAATGTATGCTGAGTTGGTTTCTACCAGTGTGTTCAACAAGTGTTCCATAACTGCATAACTGATGGTATTGGAGTAGTGGTGCAGAATATACAAAGGTCCTTGGATGATTTCTCTTAAAAGAAACTTATGATAATTTAGATCAAGCCAAACAAGGTAATCAAAATTCTGCATAACACAAAGCTCACCATAGCATTGGCTGTCAATAAAATATGGAAAACTATCTAAAAAATAATAATTTAAATAAATCAGGTACTGTTGAATAAGATGAAACTTAATGTAAATAATGCTAATTTTCATGATTATGTTTTAAAAAAGAATACTACCTTCATAGAACAGGCATAGTATTACTTGGTAAGATATTACAGCACAAGGCCTAGTGGAACACGCCAATAATCCCAGTGGCTATGAGGTTGAGGCAGGAGGATCATGAGTTCAAAGCAAGCATAAGCAAAGGCTATGTTTTAAGTAACTCAGTGAGACGCTGCCTCTAATTAAATACAAAATTGGGCTGGGGATGTGGCTCAGTGGTTGAGCGCCCCTGAGTTCAATACCCAGTATCCAAAAGAAGAAGAAAAAAAAGGTATTATAGGGAAGGGGTCATATTGTATTCTTCTTGGGTGTTTTGGTTGTGGTTGTTGTTGTTGTTGTTTTTTGTTTTTTTTTTTTTTTTTTTTTTTGTACTGGGGTTTGAACTCTGAGACTCTTTGCCACTGAGCTACATCTCAGATCTTTTGTTTTTATTGTAGGATGGGGCCTCATTAAGTTTCCAGTGTTGACCTTGAACTTCTGATTTTCTTGCCTCAGCCTTCCAAGTTGTTGGGATGACAGGCATGTGCCACTGTGTTTGGCTCTTCTTATTATATGCTACAGTAGGGTGCAACAACTAAAAAATTTAAATCAGTCTCAGGCTAGAAAGTGAGAAAATCCTAATATATTCTTATACCAGAGTACTATGTTCAATTTCACATAATCCATTTGTCAAACCAACGGTTACTGAAAAACTTGTACATTTTAAGGACAATTTTGTAAAACTGTCAAGAGATTCAAAATTAAAGCTTAAAAGGTTCCTGAACAAGATCTATTCTCTCTCTCTCATTTGCAGTCACCATTGGCCTAGAAGTGATATACTGAAATATGAACACTAATAAGATACTTCTAGCTTGATACAAGAAAATTTTCTGTATTTTATTTTATAAGTCTATTCATAAAACAAAATCCTTCTAACGTTTGAAATTCTCCAGACATGAAACCCTGAAACTGTTGACTTCATCATCGTATCTGCACCACATTGTGCAAGTTTAATAAATGCAAGCTAAAATAATTAACTACTTGGGATTTGAAATGACCCAGTTATCAACATCCCAACGCAACAGTATTCTAAGGGTTGACCTCTTAGCTCTTAAACTTTCAGATTACTTTAAGGTTCTAATTAACAGTGAATATTTGGAAACCCTTCACAGAAATGTTTGATGTACAATATATAAACATCTTTCTTCCAGAAATGAAAAAAACATAATTTCTTTAACAGAAAATAAAGATGAAAATAGGCCAAAAATATTTTATATGTATCATGTTTCCTAAAATTACATCTTGAAACATGGATGTCTGCCATCATGTAGCTAAAACCCTTGAGACAGTTGGTAAACTACCCACTGACCTTTCTGTTAACTGAGATTCATGGGTGCAAGGGTCATCTTTTAGATCTTACAAAAAGGATAACCTTTTTCTGCTGTCATCAGAAGTTTTTGACCTTTCTGTTTCTCCCCTCAAGAAACTGGTCTAGAATTCCAATTTTATCTTTATAATTTAAGTGTATAAGTCACAAATTCTTTTTTTTTTCTTTTAACTGAAGCACCTTTCCTTTTCTGGTTTGCAAATTTTATATATTTTTGAATCTTAGAAAGTTGGAAAAACATTTACAATGCTTTCAAATACAGACCAAAATTTGCTATAAAAGCAAATATCTACACCAGATGTTATGTTTTAATATAGATCTGACTTTGGATATGATCTAAGAAAATGAAGATTTGGCATATATTTTTAGAAAGTTTTCCTTCCTGTGTTGATATTTTATTAATAATTGCATATTTTCTCTAAAAATACCTCTTAACATATCATATGATAATACTACCCTGGATATTAAACTCCTAGTCATGTTTTCCAATTATGTAATGATAGGGTAGTACAGAGAGAGTCATGGAATTCATTCTGTGAGAGACTCTAACTTCCTTTTATACTCTTGATCAAAATCTATTTGGAGGGGCTGGAAATGTGGCTCCGGCGGTGGTGGGCTCGCCTGGCATGCGTGCGGCCCGGGTTCGATCCTCGGCACCACATACCAACAAAGATGTTGTGTCCGCTGAGAACTAGAAAATGGGTGTTGAGGATTCTCTCTCTCTCTCTCTCTCTCTCTCTCTCTCTCTCTCTCCTCTCTCACTCTCTCTTTAAAAAAAATCTGTTTAAAAATACAGAATACATTTGCCTGCTTGAGAAAATAATGGACATAAAAAGACATTTAACTGATTATTTGTCCTTGTTGAGCTATTTCTAACCTATCAGGCCCAGTCTTGGGAATTTTAAAGATAAATGATTAGTATCCCTCCTTAATGTTTTTGTATTTGGTATTGTCAATTTGGTATTTTTTTACTTAAAACTTTCATTAAAATTTGGCTACAGACAGATAGTATACTCTTCTAAGTGTTCTCTGTAGAAAGAAGAAAAGTTTTCTGTGTAAATTTTTGATTGAAAAAAAAAAGATCCAAATATAGATTATTAGCACTACAACGATGTTCCAGTCACCAGGCTCATTCTGACACCTGACCTAGGAATAACTTTGCATTAATCTTCCCAAGGAATCATTATGTTCTGCTCACAGGCATGTGGACAAATAGCAGGAAACAGTAGTTAAATAGGATTATACAGTTTAGGGATTTAATTGCAGGAACATTGAATATGCCTGGGAATCTGCTTTTGATACTTACTATGCTTACTCTATTATATAGTTTTTGTTTTAAGACCATACAGCATATTGATATGAAGATACGAAAAAAATCTAAGGAAGGATGAAACAGTTAATGGGAGAAAAGGAATATTTTTAAAGAAATAATAATTAAAAATTCTATGTAGCAAAATATTATCTCTCCTGCCCTATTAGTTCCCTATTAGTTATTATTCTCAAAATAGTTTTTCAAATGTCCCAAGAATAAATGAGGTGAGATTAATGTAAATGTCCATGACAATGACAAATGGCTTCAGAAAATCTGGCATAAACAGATCAATAGTTATAAAGATACATACACACTATGGAATATTATTTGACCTCAAAAAAATAAACAAACCCTGTCATTTTGTGACAACAGATGTACCTGGAGGACGTTACATTAAGTGAAATAAAAAAGATAAATACAGCATGATCTCATTTGTATGTGGAATATAAAATAGTCAAAGTCATTGAAGCAGAGAATAGAATGGTTGTTTCTGGAAGGTAGGAGGTGGAGGAAATGGGAGTGATATTTTCAAAAGTAGAAAGTTTTTGTTAGAATATAAGTTCTGGAATCTATTGTACAGCCGGTAGACTACAGTTGATAATGCGATGTATAGCTGAAAATGGCTATGTAGATCTTAAATATTCTATCAAAAAAGTGAGCTAAATACTGTGTTAAGTAGCTGCCTTTAGTCACCTTATAATGTATAAACACATCAAAAGATTGTTTTACACCATAAAAATTTACAATTTTATATGTCAATTCAACTTTAACACAGCTGGAGAGGTGCATATTTTAAAAAGCTGGAAATTATTACAAGAGTTTTCCATAATTAAAAATATAAAGAATAAATAGCATCATTCTAAAAAATCTAAAAGAAACATAATATCAGATGATATATCTAAAAGATCTCATAGGTTGATCTATGGTCAAAATACAACTTTCTAATCAAAGTACAATGGAGATCACATACATAATTTTCTAGTAGCCACATTTTAAAAAATTAAAAATAAAAAGTAAACTTACTTTAAATAAAATATTTCAATTAAGCCAACATGTTCAAATAGTGAATTTCCATCATATAATCAATATAAATTTAAGGAAAAGAAACTATACATCCTTCATTTTATATCAAGTCTTCAAATTCCCAACCTGGAATAGCAACAGCTGAATCATTCATTTGGCTAGTGGCTGATTTACTGGATAGCATCCATTTAATATGTTCCAATCCTGAAGTTTGTTTGCACTTTTCTAAACAAATCCTTTAAGATGATAGTTGGATATTGAATCAAAATAAAATCAGGTGCCATTCATATTCTAATGTGAAGAAAGGCAGTTCCCTTTTTAAAACAAAACAAAAACAAAATTTTCTCTGGGCTAAAGGCAAATGTTAGTGTAAGCACATTAGAAATCCTCTGTGGATATCATGAGCTCTGTAATGTTTTGAACAATCAATCAATCAATCAATCAATCAATCAATAATATTTTTTAGAAAAAACAAGAAAATAGAAATTAAATAAACCGGTATACATAAAGAAACACTTCAAAAAATTATTTTGCTGTGTAAATGGTTTTTAAAAGCAAAAGCATGGATCATGCTATTAGCATTGAGTTGCAACAGAAGAAGAGCCTAAGGAAGTCAGGAAGCATCTCAGTTTAGCAGACCGGTCACAGGAAGAGCCTTTCGCATCATGCATCTTATTTCAAAACTTGGAACTGACAATCTTCGAAAGTTGAAAACAGCAGGGCACATAACAATTGGGTACTTCATTACATGCTAATGACTCAGTATATTTGTAAAATTATGTAAGGTAGGCAGAGATATGATCGATCATTAGAGTTTTATTTTTAGTATGCTACTTTTTTCACTGAAATTTCTATTTAATGCTAACAGCACTCTGTTTCTATAGTATGCATATCTTACCACTCTATGATCAATAGATTTCTGGAAGTTTGTGTTTACATGTCTTCATTTTACTTGCTTAATACTTTAGTCATAATATTTAAGGATCAACATGAAATACAAAAGGAAAAATGGAGAAGGGAGTTTTTTTTTAAGTATAAATTTTTGGAGGGCCAGAAAAACATTTTGATTATTTGGTTGTTAGCTTTAATTTCCCCCAAAAGAGTATGCCATACAGTACCTGATGAGTAATTCCAGAATAAAACATCCTTAATCAGATCTTCAGAAGCAAAGAAATGAAGCATTTGATCAAGAATGATCTCTTTTACAGATAAAATCCCTTTACTTTCAGGATCATATATGTAAGAGGAGAAGACAGCATTTTAAAAGCAATTATACTATCCCAATTCTTAGTCAGATTTAGGTGAAAGAGACAGGAAGGGGGAAGTTGAGGTTTGTTACATGGAATAAATTCATTCTGAATGTTATATTCTTGATTGAAATCAAATCAGAGGTTTCCTGAAGGCAGGAAGAAAATCTAAGGATGGAGATTTCCCTTCTCATTCTTTGGCCAATACCATTTTTGCCCATGATGGTAATTTTACCCATTTTGTTATTATCAAGGTTGAGAATTGACACATATTCTCCAAGTGTCTGACAAATAAGCTTTGATAATCTTAAGACTTGATATGTATATATGTATTTATAATAAATCATGTATATATGTAAATATATACATATGAATTTATGATATGGAAACACAGATGGCCAAAATCTACCAAACATAGCATTCTCAAAGTTATCAAATTATATTTTAAACCCAACAACTGCAACTTGGAAATTTTTGTGTAAACAGTTTAAAAAAATTTTTTTGAACATATACAATTAGCTGGATTCCACTGAGTAGCTAACATGAGTTTCAAAAAGGGGTGGGTAAGCACGCCTGATGGCAGCATTGCTACACACAGCCCCACCATCAAACATGCCTTTGTTCTTTAAGAATATGTTTTTTTCTGACCACTTGTAATGTAATGTGCCTTGTTCAGGCTTTTGCTGAAAAATTAACCACTGCACCTGTGCAGAAAGATTTCTACCTATGTGCCTCAAAGTCTGCACATCTACAAGAACATTGTTATGCATCCAGATACCATGTTTTTGAGTCACTTCTATGTCACCGGTCAAGAAATGGTTTGAGTTTCAGAAAAGTTAAGCGATTTATGCCATTAACTGAGAGGAAAAATAATTATGAAGAGCAAAGGGCTTTGCATTTTTCAATCTGCAGTCACTATTCTAAAGAAAGAATGTGGCCTTGGAACTGTGAAATAACTTTGTCCTTCATAAAAAGCTGCATTATGACCATGTATTGCAAAATAATATGCCCTGTGCACTGGAGTGCAAACAAGAATTTCTGAAGCTCTTTGGAAAGCATATGTACAGTTTAATCGATCTTGCAAAAATATATGACATGATATTGAATAAGGCCCAAAGCAAAGTACATGTTAAGCTATTGAATGTGACTATTTTTTCCTTTCCTCTATACAATGTTTCTCTTCTGCCTTGGATTCTCAAGAGAGTAAACTAGTTTCACTGACAATATAAACATGAACTAAACATCTACCAGATGACAAAAACCTGACTGTGATCTTAATTTATCCTTTCCTAACTGCGCAAATTTTAGCAAAGCATCTAACTTTTCTGTACCTCCTTTCCTTGTCTATTAAATGTGGACAATGTATGTATCCCAATAAAATCTCAGAAATGTTTATGAGAAAAAATGAGGTGGCATTTATGAAAGTTTGCATGTGATATTATCACAAATATTTAACAACCATTCTACATGGAGCTGACAAATACTTTACAATGATATATATATAGAAACGGAAATATTTTTTGCCACATTCTCAAGCTTCCTTTTGACCTATTTTTTTAAATATTTGAAAAGATGCCTTTTTTGTACCAAGACATAGCTGCATTATAGACAGTGGTATCTACTCTGATAATGATCATCACACATGCCAGCTGTGTAAGCACAGGGAAGAGACACGGGCTTCTTCCCTATTGGCTGGAGAGGAGCTAGTAGACTGATGCTGAGGAACTGGAGGAAGGCAGGAGCAGATGAGTCTTCCTTTGTGCCCCACAGTGGGACACACTTATCTTCCCCAAAACAAAAGGGATCATTGAGATGATTAAACTTGGAAGAGTCGCTTCATAATCCTTTATTTTTCTAAAAAATAGTTAGCTGCAAAAAATGTAGAAAATTTGTATTTTATACTTTTTGAAAAAGGCAAATTTGGTAAATCTTACACCTGGTATACACTAGGAGTATTTTTAAAATATTTTAAATATTCAAAATAAAATCATAAAGTAGAGGACATACCACAAACTATGTCCATACTGGGTGATATATACTGTGAATAGGCCTGTGCATGTGGTTGCCAATTTTAGTTTTAGACATAAAGAAACTAGGAACAGGGAATTTTGAAACTTTCCCATGACCTCATTGTGTGTTTACGACTTGGTGATTCCACTTACATTTGTCTGAGGAAATAGATACAAACTTAATAAAAAAGCAAATGGCTAGATGTAAAATGAACCTAAAATAAAATGCAATCCAATCAATGTTACAAACACTTTCATTGATCATAATATACATTGCCTTGTGTCTTTGTTTTTTGTAGTGCTAGGGACTGGAACCGACACACACACACACACACACACACACACACACAGAGTCAAACAAGTACTCTACCACTGAGATACACTCCCAGTCTCACATTGACCTTCTTTTGGCAGTATTGGAATTGAACCCAGGTGTGCTTTACCACTGAAGTATATCCCCAACCATTTTTAGTTTTTTGATTTGGAGTAGAGGTTTTGTTAATTTTACTGAGGCTGCTATTTAAACTGCAATTCTTCTATCTTAGTCTCCTAAATAGCTGGGACTTTAGGTAAGGGCCACAGCCTTCAACCTGCTTTGAAACTTTTAAAAAAAAGTATTTTATATTGTATTTGGGATGACCATCGTGTTGGTCAACTTTTCACTGCTGTTTCCAAAATACCTGATGAGAACAACATTGAGAAAGAAAAGTTTATTTTGAACTCACAGTTTCAGATATCTCAATTCCTGGTAGGATTACTCAAGGCCTGAGGTGAGGCAAAAATCTTATGACAGAAAGGTGAAGCAGAGGAAAAGTGCTCACTTCACAGCAGCCAGGAAATAGGGGGAGAAAGAAAGAAGTAAGAAGAAAATATAAATACACATGGCCACACTCATCATGACCTACTTCCTCAAGCCAGGCCCTAACTGCTTTCACTTATCATCCAGCAGTCTATTCAAATTAAAATTATTAATCCATCAAATGGACTAATCCACTGATGGCATCACAGTCCTAAGGGACTAATCATTTCACCTCTCAGGATTGCTGCAGTTCCTAATACATGAGCTTTGGGTGGGAAAAGTCCAGATACAAACATAACAATAAGAATTTAATGACATGTGTTATATGTAAGATAAAGTGTGGATTATGACTCTAAGTCCTTAAGAAATTTTCTACTTTTCCTCATTATTAGAAAATATTCTAATTTATTTGTCATAAACATATAATGAAATCTCTCAATTTTTGTCATAACAGTTTTAATTTCACTATGTGAAGAACATAAAATATAAATTTTAGACACACAAGTATTATTTTTAAATATTTTAACTTTTTTAAAATAGAATGTAATTTAAACTACTTGAAGATTTTTAAATTATAAGATGAAAACATCTGGACTAAGAGTCATAATAAAAGGTTAGGCGTACCTGAATTTCAGTGAACAAATAGGAGGTTATCTGAAAAGTATTAAATACCCAAATATATGATGAAAATTTTATTTAATGTATCATCAACATAAAGAAATTCCAATGACAATTTATTATATTACATAAAAATTATTATATTCATTGAGAAAGAAAATGAAAGTAACTTGAATTAAGATTATGATTTTGATATTGCTACTGAATATACTGAACTTTGTTGTTAATCTCTTTGATTATATGATGTATAATTTCACAGATGTGTATGAAAACTTATGTGATATCCTCACAATTATCTGGCATGAGATATTATTCAACTTTTATTGAATTCTACTCTTCTTTTAGCACTTAACTCTGAAAGCTCAGCTAAACAGAAAAGATGTATTTTCTAGGATGTTGAACAAGCATGAATCCATGGTCTGCTAAAGTGACTTCACAGAGAAATACTCACAAAAAATAGGAGTTAAGAGGCATGTAATGAAATTTCTAAAGGGAGCTAACTTCCTGTCTTTGTATAAGACTGTCAGAATTGGTTTGAACAGCTCTAGGACACATCAAGGCATGAAGAAGGACATTGAGTAAATTAATTGATGCACTTGATTTTACATTCCATTTTCAAGCATCTACAAAGCCCATCCAAGATTTGACAAAAAATAGTATTATGATTTTTTTTGGAATGTCAAACATTTTCTTTTCTTCAGTAGTTACAATTACCTCTAAAATTTTGTATTTTCCTTCTCAATTATTTTTCAGTGAAGAGTAGAAACAAGAGTTATGTACAGTCTTCATCATGCTTCCTTCTCAAGTGCAAAGTCTGAATGGCTTGCATGATAGTAATATGGTCATTCTATTTCATGGTTTTTACATTTGCTGAACGACTACTATTTGAAACACTAATCCTTTATATGGCAGATATGAACAAAATTCAGAGATACTTTTGTTAAATATAATGGTCTACTATTCTCCAAGTTGATGTTGCATTTTGGACGCAAAATTTTAAAAATGAAAGGAAAAGAAACTGCTGAAATTAAAATTAGGTACCCTGAGAGGAACAATCGTATTGAAATCAGCATTGTCTTTAGATATTTTTTACATGTATATTTTTAAGTAGCACTACATTCCTTTAATTTTTCACCTTTATATTTATAACCTTATTTATAACTACAAAGATTGATGTGAAAAGTGCCCCTTTTCAATAACCCTAGAAATGAAGATATATACTACAGGTACTTATGTTTTGAGCAATCATTATGCAAATAATGGAATTAAGAAATATTTTTTTCTCAGTATAGATTGTATCTATATGACCATGCAAACACTGTAAGACCACAAGTCAAATCTTATGTGAATGAAAGACTTATCTGTGTCCAGGAAGGGCAGTCCAGAAAACACCTTAGCCTTTCTATGTGAATGTCTGATGCATACAAAATAGTATTATATATTCATTAAAATTGCTTTAGTTTATTAAATTATGGATGTTTTAATATAAACTTCAGCTATTTTGTGGTAATAGATTAACAAATGATTAGTTATCATTAACAGATTTTTTTTTCTTTTGGATTATAAAAATTAAATTATACCTAAAAATCAAATTTAAACTAAGCCTATTCACAATTACTGCACTTTCTCAGATTAGAAACACAATATAACCATTAAACAGAAATCTATTTTGGTAAAATCAGAACACTTAAAACATTCTCCTTTTATATAGGTGCTTATAACAGTGATAATGCCAAAATACATTGCTAACATTTCTGTGTTATGTTAGACACTCTAGAAGTGCAGACTATGGTAAGTTTATTTTTAAAGCCCTATGGCAAAAGTGAAAATGAAAAAAATCCTTTGGACAGGAAAGAAAAACATGGGGTTGCAAATAGCATTAGGTGATGACCTGCATACACTTGAACATGCCCATGGGGGGAAATGGCTGTGACTGCCCCTGATAGATAGCAAAAGGCTCATTTTAAGAAAGAAAGAAAGAATGGGGCATTTCAGGGAACATCTATTACTCTTGTGAATTAAAGGTATGAATGTAAATCATAAGACAGTTTCTGGGCTTTCTGCAGATAAGATATCTGCATATGAATGCTTTGTGTTTTAATGATTCATTCCTGTAAAACTTTACATTGATGATGTAATGGTACTAAAGTGTCTTCACCATGGTATTATATATAACTATATACAAATTTATTCTTTATGATGCTATGTTAATCTGAAATTGAACATCTTTCTTTTGTACTTAGCTCTGAAAAGCTATGGGATGATCTTAAATCACAATCACAGCCTCCTAATGTGTAGGAGTAATTTATTTGTTTTAATGCAGTATAGTTGAGTAAGATTTATTTTCTGAGATATCCAAAAACACAAAGAAAGTATTATTTTCTGCTCTTTCCCTTCCTGCAAGACAGCTTTTAAAAATAGGATCATTTAAAAAAATACAGTGACATAAAGAGCTAAAAATGCTTAGAGGATAGCTACTGGGCATTTATCCCTTGCTAAGTGGCTTTCTCCCTCTAAGATCACTGAAAATGTTATTTTGAACGATATTCCCGTACATATTCCATATGAAATTTAATGTACATAAATCTGCATTAAAAATTAAACATTGAGGGCTGGAGATGTGGCTCAAGCAGTAGCGCGCTCACCTGGCATGCGTGCAGCCCTGGGTTCGATCCTCAGCATCACATACAAACAAAGATGTTGTGATACTCTCTCTTGCTCTCTCTCTCTCTCTCTCTCTCTCTGAAAAACAAATAAACATTGAAAACTGTCAATGGAGCCAAAACTTGTAAAGGTAATTTCATTTTTTTCTTGGTAGGGTTTGTGTGCATCAAACAAGAAGCCAGAATTTTACTTGGATACAATAGTGAGAAACAGACCATGTAATATTAAATAGCTTAATGGTGCTTTACTGAACATGTTATTTTGAATGTAATGTTTCTTACTCTTAACTTTTATTAGATATTAAATTACTATTATCAAATAAGTTGTGTTTTATTAACAAAAATATAGTAACTGACCAAAAATTTCTTCTCTACATGATTTATTGAGTAAACACTCAGGAGATTAGTTCCAGGACTCCCTGTGGAAACCAAAATCTCCAGATGCTTAAGTCCCATATATAGAATCAAGTAAAATTTGCATATAATTATATATATATATATATATATATATATATATATATACACACACACACATACACATATATATGTAAACTTTAGAATATCTCCAGATTACATATAATACCTAATTCAATGCAAATGTTATGCAAATAACTGGAATGCTGCATTGTTTAGGGTATAGTGACAAGAAGAATGTTTCTACATGTTCAGACAGACATAATTTGTTTTTCAAATATTTTCTATGTATGGTTGGTTGAATACCTGGGTGTGGAACCCATGTATATAAATATGAATGGTCCAGTGTAACCTCATTCACTTTTGTTTGGAGGAAGCATTTTTAACTGTTAAACAAAGTATATTTTCTCATAATTATATTATGAAATTGCTTGATAATTATATATTAGATATCTGATAGTACTTTAAAAAAGAATAATAATTAATATATACCTGTTAAATATATCAATGAACATATATATATATATTTTAACCTGAACTTATAAAATATTCGTCATCATCTCCAAATAAATGAGCCATGATTGTAAGGGCAACATTGCACATGTAAGGTGAAAAACACTAAGCAACTCAGTCTTTCATTTTAACAGTCATGGTAGGGCTGTGTAGAAAAAGAAAAATAAGCTCTATTAACAAAATTTTATTCTCCAAAGACAATTCATGTCAAATACGAAAAACAAAAAGCACAGACCTGGTCCCAGAGCCTCAGGCTGGAGTATGAGGGAAAGCAGAGCTGGCTCAGGCCTCTGGGATCAGCTGGACCTTAGCACACAGCAGAAGCTGGGACAGAGGAGCAGAAAGAGTGTGGAAGTGGTGTTGCTGTACAAATAGGCAGAGAGGCACAGGGTAAGGATCACAGCGCAGCTGCTAAGACAGCATGGACTGCTGCAGGGCCTTCTGCAGCAACCGCTGCCTCACCAGCAGGCGCACCACTTCCTCCGAGTGCTTTGTGAGCCATTTCCTGGCCTGGTCATGTGTGACCATGGTCATGTCCCAGCCATTCCCCTGCATGATCTTGTCTCCGATCTGCAGCCCAGCAATTTCAGCAGGACCTCCTACATTCACGTGTGTGACATAAATGCTCTTGTCTGTCTTATCTTCTGAGAAGGGATGTTGAGAGGGAACCTGGTCAATTCCACCACCAATGCTGAAGCCCAAGATTAAGTTCTTTCTTTGATGCATCTTGTGAATTTCAACTCTTTGCATAATGGCAGTGACCAGCTGGCCCAGTATGTAAGACATCTTGACCCGACCTAGCAATGAAGTATACCTGAGGGAAGCCTGCAGTGATAATGCCAGCCTCTGCCAGATTTTTTATAAACCATTTATTTAATCATCATAGAGACCCTAAGAAGTCACTATTGTAGAAACAAGGAAACTGACATTCATGGAAAATAATTAACTATTCCCCAAGTAATGCTAGATATGTAATTATTTTAAAACCATTAAGTTTAGAAAACAGACAAAAATAACCACAAACTATGACAAGAACAAATTATTATTTTCTTAGGTTTTGTTTTTCTGTGTTTTGTCATATATCTGGCTACTGGAAAATTTAATCAGCAAATGGGCCACTCAGTCCCTTTCCACTCTAGAACAAAAAATAAAAAAATTATACAATCCTTAAAATTATCTAGTTTTCAAACTTTGATAAAAGTGTGAAGTGTGCAAATGTAAAATTTGAATGAGCAAAGTGATCAGAAATATCAGAATACTCATCTCTCTGAAAAATTGTGTATGAGCACACACACACAATCACACAGGTGTACACTTTGCAGGGGATGAAACCCAGAGCCTTAAGTTGATAAGGAAGTGCTCTATCCCTGAGCTGAATCCCTAGCCTTTGGATATTTTAAATTTTGAGTTAGGGTTTCCCTAAATAGTCCAGGCTGTGCTCTAACTTACAATCCTACCTCAGGCCTCCAAGTCCCTGGGATTACAATGTGCCACCAAATCCAGCTTCTCTGAAGAATGTTTTGAATAACATCTGAACTGTATAGTATTTGGGGGCTTTTTTTTTTCTCCTGTAGGTAGATTAGAGAGAAATATTTTTTAAGAGAGAGAGAGAAGAGAGAGAGATTATTTTTTAATATTTATTTTTCAGTTTTCGGTGGACACAGCATCTTTATTTTAGTTTTATTTGGTGTTGAGAATCAAATACACCACCCTGTGCATGCCAGGTGAGCAGATTACTGATTCAGCCACATCCCCAGCCCTGAGAAATTTTGTTTTAATGAGAGTGTATTTGTTTTCAGTGGTATAAATACATACTTTATACCATTTGCAGATGGCAATATTTAAATGAAACCTATTGACTTTAAAAATGTTAACTGTGACAGGTGAGAACATAGTGAATTCATTTGGACCTTCAAAAAGGAGGAAAACCATTCTTTAATTTATAAGACAGAGATATACATGCATAATCAAAACATAATATGAAAACAGTTGTAGGTATAAGATATTCAGGGAAGAAATAGGTAAATATAAACACATGGTTGATAAAGATGTCAAGAGGATTTGTAATTGAGATGCTAGACAACATCTAGAGAAATTGTCTAGACAGCAGTATCCTGAGAAATTGTCTTCCCAGAGCAGACATACCTTGCAGTGTCTCTGTGGGTTAACATCTGCAAGGGTCCTAGTGAATACTCAAAGGGTACATCTGAAGCTCCCTGTCAGTTTCACAAGCAGTATCCAGTATGTAACCATAATATTCATAAATCTACACATGATTTTTTCCATTTGAAAATTCTAAAGACTATCATAATTCAGCAGATCACATCACTGAATAAGTGATTGAGCTCAAATAGCTGTATGTCATGGGAATATAAAGAACAAACTGAAGAGTTCAGAAACAGAACCAAATACACATGAAGACATTGCTCCTGATGTAGAACTATAGCATAACAAGTCATCACAGCAGTGACACTGATGACACAGCATTCTTTCTAACTGAAGAAATAAAACTATCTCACCCAATATTCAAAAAGAAATTCTAGATTTTTACTACGTAAATGTAAATGTGAATAAGCAAAGATTAAGATTTTACATGACATCATAAGAGAAAACCTTTCTTACATATCTAGATAGGAAGGAATTTCTTATGACACAACAAAAGAGAAAAAAATTTAAAATTTATATGTGAAAGTCTTGACATCCACTGACCCCCCCAAAAAAATTTTCCTAACCAAATGCCTACAATTTTTAATTATCTAGACATGTTCCCAATAATATGTCATTCCAAGTTAACGCCTATTCAAATTATAATTTTGTGGTTTCTGGTGAAGTTTAGTGATTTAATATAATCAAATACCCATATACTGAGTATGCACTAATGGTTTCTCAGAAAGTGTGCATTTGCTATACAATATTGAAGATCAAAACAGAGGGGCAAAGAAGAAAGAAGGAGAACAAAAATCATCAATTACTTTTTCTCTTTCTCTCTCCTCCCTGTCTTTGTTGTCTCCTTGAGAGTTCCAGGGTGAGATCACTCTTCACATAGGTTCCTACTTACTGGTTGGCCTTGGGTAGGTTTATCTGTTTCTAAGTAATGAGCTGGAATGCTATAGTGATATTGAGGGACATCTGACCTGTCAATCAGAGCTGCCATTTGGGAGGTCTTTAAAGGGCTCCTACAATGTTGGGCTGCCTTTTTTGTTTCTTTTTATAAGAATTTTCAAACAAGATACTATTTTATTCTCTTTAAAAATCGTCAAACTGCAGTGTGACTCCATGGTTTTTCTGGATTTGTCTGGAACTGTCATATGGGGAAAGAGATTTCACTGGGGGAATTGTTTTTAATGCTTACAAGGTCTTCTAATAAGGCACACACTTAGGTTAAGCATTGCGTTTAAGACAGATGAGACTGTAGCAACACCCCCACCCTCACACATACTCACTAAGAAAAGCATACTGCCATCTTATTTAGTCATTTTGCAACTTAATATTTTAAAGTTTGTTTGTAATGTTTTTCTAAACTATGAAAGTAGGAACTGCATACTTTATACTTTCAGTAATTATTTTAAACTAATTGATCCAAAGGATGTATTTCTGCTACAGATTTTTATAATTTCATAGTTAAGTTTTCTGCATTAGCACAACAAGGAATCCCAAGAATCTGACAAGGATCTCAAATATCAGAACAATTCATTGGCACCAGCAAAGGATAATATTTCTGGTATGGTTTAGGTATCAGGTGTCCCCAAAAGCTTATGTGTGAGACAGTGTAAGAAACTTTAAAGGTAAAGTGAATGGGAAAAGATGAATTTAACCTACTCAATACATTCATCCTCTGACAGGGATTAACTGGGTCTAACTGCAGACAGGTAGAATGTGGCTGGAGAAAGAGGGTTCCTGGCAATGTGCCTGTGCAAATGGTACCATTTGCTAATGATCATCTATCAACAAACTTTATAAAAAAATCATTAACTTCAATTCAACATATGAAAATTTTAAAAAATGGAAAAATAACTTTTGAGCTCAAAACCTGAGTGTTGAATAATAGTAGAGACGAAGAAGTTATTTAAGAAATGTGAGAAAATACTGAATAAAACTGGACCAATTGACTGGGGTAAGGTGGGAAGAATGAGTCCAGTTATATTTCAGGCCCCTAGAATACCACATGCAAAAGTGAATGAATTGCAAAGAGAGCTAAGCTAAGCAGAAAAGAGTACAGGGCATCACACATGGACTCGCTATTCTAATTTAGCACACCTGGCATGCATGCGACACTAGAATATGCCAGTGGGTCCTTGATCCTTAAAACACATACAGGCAGATGCAGTTGTGGGCTCTTTCTCTTGCCTCTCTACCCCTTCAAGAGCATTAAACTAAACCCACATATGATCAGTCAAAAGGACACTTATGTCATTGGGGTAAAAATAAATTTACCTAAAAAATGCCACAATTTTTATTTTTCTGGTTGTGGATAAAATAATGCTAGTGCAAGTAAATTTGCTTACAGTTAAATAAGAAACTCATTATTTTCTTCATTCATGAACAACCAGAAACTTAAGTATACACTTTAAAACACAATGTGCATGTAACTGTTTAGAAACATTAAATTTTGAAATAGTCACATCAATAAAATAGAATGTTTTCAGTGGCTATCAAAGTATTTGGAAAAAACAAATTCTCCATTGATGATCCAACAATGGTCGACTTTTGTATTTCAGTTCAATTTTTTAACCAAGATTCTATCAGATAATTTAAAAGCCATTTTTTTAAAAAAAAATCATGATCAATTACCAGACACAAGGTTCAGCAGAAAATATTCTCAGGAAATATGGATGTGTCAAAATAAAAAATAGATATCCTTATGGTAATTTAGTAAAAAGTACCCAATGAAAACTTTTTTAAATGCTCATGGAAACCGAAAATTTGAGTGGCTTCTTTTTGATTTTGGAGAGAGCCTGAGCAAGGTGATGAAACTATTACTCAAAGTCTTTCATTTACATTTGGTGACAAAATAATTGGTACATTAGTAAAGATTTTAAAAGAAATCAATAGTTGGGACTCAAAGCATTCTTCTCCTCCTTAAACTATTTTCACTTAATGTTAAGATTTTCCTCATCTAAGAAGTCAAATGAGAAGCGAGTGCAGCTGGTTTTTCTTTGAACATGGGAACAGTGTTTAGAGTCATTATAAGTTTGATTATATCCAGAGATAGACTCTCCAAAAGGAAGATTTATCAACCAAGTTACTATAAGGTAAAAACATTCACAAATAGTTGTTGGAAAAGTTGTATATCAATAATAGTAAATGACATCTGCTCTGCCTCTTATAATAGGAGAAAGAAGGGTAAAATTTTCTAAATCTCATTTCTTTCCCTCTGTGCTTTGTTGATTTGTCTCTTGGGCTTGTTTATAATGGCTAATCAAAAGAGAAATGGGAAAGAGAGAGTGCATTGATCACATTGAAAATGGTGACTAGAGGAAGAAAAGAGGTCAATAGGATCAGAGGGAGGTAAAGAAAATGAGACAGAAATGGTATTGGTAGTAGCCTATATATGATACTCTATCAATAACTATATTATATGCAATTACTATGCAATATTAGTATGTCATATATGTTATATAATAATATTAGTATGTATAAAATCACAGATAACAGTGTGTTTGTGTGTGTGTGTGTGTGTGTGTGTGTGTGTGTGATAATTGTATATTACAGTATTGGTCACCTTGCTTAGAGTTTGGGAAAATTTGTCATGAACAAAGAGAACATGGAGGGAAACAGCTTTATAT